GTCTCTTATAATTACAGTATTATCTTTTTCTCTGCAAGAAATGTGTCCTTTTTCCTTTGGCTATCTTCAAGATTTTTTCTTTATCTTTCATTTTGAGCAATTTGATTGACGTGTGTGGTTATGGAGTATGTCATTATTTTGAGATAATTCTTGACCGTTATCTCTTCACATATTTTTTTTTTTTTTTGCCAAATTCTCTCTTCCTTCTCCTTTTGTGATTCCAGCCAGCTGTTTTATATTGTCCTGTGGCTCTTGGACACTCTTTTCTTTCTTTTTCACTCTTTTTTTTCCTCTATGCATCTCATTTTGGATCATTTATGGACGTATCTTTAAGTTCACTGGTTCTTTCCTCAGTTATATGAAGTCTGCTGAAGAGTCCATCGAAGAAATTCATTTCCAATATTGTGGGTTTTCTTATCAAGTGTTTCCATTTGGCTCTCCCTAACTTTGGCTGCATGTTGTTCACCTGTCCCACTAGTTAGAATACTGAATATTATGTCCAGAACAGGAGAGACTGAGGTCAATAGTACCTTTGTTTGGAAATAGGCATACCTTGTCTTCTGTTGGGCTGCAAAGGTGGCAGATTGAGCCAGTTTAGTCAAGAGTTGAACTGAATTTACTTTTTGTTTGAGCGCATCACAGGTTTTAAATTCCTTTCGAGGGGGGGGCTGCCATTGCCGTATGCTTAGGGGACTAGTAGACGGGGTGGGGAGTGGGGGGATTAGTGCTCCACCTCATGCTTTCCCTGCATAGCTGTTACACAGAGAACATCTTTTGCCAAGCTGCTGCCTGACCTCACCAGTTGGCTACGGTTGCTTGCTACTCCTGTTCGGGTTGTACTGGGGCTCAGGGTCCCTCATTCTGCCTCTGCTTCGGTCTTAGGGAGGGTGCCTAGGCCTCAGGGCGAGATCTCTCTTAGCATTTCTGCCCTTTCTACCACAGCAGTCAACCTCTGCCTTGTATCTGTGGTTGTAGATTTCAAGGCTCTTCTACATACTGCCAAATTGCATCCCAGAAAGCATGTGCAACCACATTTCACCAATGACAATCAAGGGTTCTACTAAACAAGGTTTTCAGTCTCGGACATCACTGGGCTCTTTTGATATGAGTGATTCCATAATTATATTGCTCACTTATATGATGAAAATGCAACCCTGGGCCTTGTGCATAGTAGGCCATAAACCACTTTTCTGGTTAACTGAGGAATCAAAGTGTAAATATCCTATTGAGGAGTTTAGAGGCACCATTGTCATTTAGATTTGTTCCCCATTGACAGAAGCAGTCCCCACCCAACTCAGGAATTCAGAAGTACATATTTTATTCAGGAGCTCCCTTTGACAGAGATGAGAAGCAATAGTGTCGGCCTGGGGCATCATGGTCCCTGAATGAAAATACCACTGCCCAAGGGCTGGAACTGAATTCTGACCCTGATTCTGCCTCCAATCAGCGGTCTCTTAAATATGCAGATTACTGACCAGTTCTGTTCCTCAGTTTATGTACCTGTCAAGTAAGGTTCATGATACTTATTTCACTTCAGTAGCTTGCTGTGAAGATAAAATGAAATGACATCTTGTAAAGCCCTTTGCAGCACTTTTTAAGTGCCATAGAAATGTGAAATATTCCTCTAAGAAGGGTCAGAGAGGTGTAGAAAACTGTGGGAGTTCGAAATTCAAGATACTCTTTTGACATCTTCACATCCTCCATGTGAGAGAGTATGTGAGAAAATGAGTATTTGCGAATATAAGAAGAGAACGAAATTAGAAATAGAGTTCTTTCTCTCACCAAAATTAGCCTATTTGTGGTAAAAGTTAATGAAGTCCTGCTCAACCAGAGAAGGGCACTTCTTTAAGGGGAAATAGCCCGTAAGCCTTGACTCACGCAGGGAAGTGATGAGTTTGTGTCATATCTCACTCTGTACTCAGCAAGCCTCTGTTAGACTGTGTTGCCAGTAGACCTAACCTGTCACTCCACCTGCTGTCTCAGGTCTAGAATCTGCCCACTGTGCTGCTTGGGTCATTAGAACAACACACACTTACACTCAGACAAAAGGGACAACCAAGACAATTAACAGGCCATAAGGAAGTTTATCTGCTTCCGCCAGCTTTCATTCACACCAAAATCCAGTCCCCATTAAAGAGGGTTATTCAGTGAAAGCTTGCTTATTTTATCACCTTTCTTCTTGTGCATAAATATTTTTTTGGTAACTATGGCAGGCAAAGTAGTGAGCAAGATCATGGCAGGACTGGAGATTCCAAGGTATAGGGCTCATTGGTGCTCATCCATGGCTCACGTGAGTTTCATTGTTTTGCCAAACGCCACCTGAAAGCCGTGCCACAGTGCTGTTCCCCCCTCTGCTGGGCAGGAGTTCAGTGGTGAACCGGCCAGATCTGTTTCCTGCGGTTGCCATAGGCTGGGTTTCTGTTGTTGGGACTGGAGAAGATGAGTCATTTCTCTCAGTACGGTCTCCGTGTGCGCTGGCAAGGGAGCAGCAGAGGTAGGGACCCAAGGGGCTGTTGGAGAGCTGGTGACCGTAAGTGGGGGTGGCTTAATGTTTACTAACATGTCGATTTTCAAATCATTAAACCACTCTGAGTACTTAGTGCAGCAGCAATATATGCCACTATCAGACTGGGCCGCATTCTTTCTGGTTAAAGACACACTCCCTTTCTAAATGATTCCATTTAGCTTATAAGGCTGGTTCCTCCAAATGGTCAGTCTGGATCCATTAGTCCCAATGAGTTGGTTTGAACATACAGACCACCCATATGCCCCTCGGCCCCAGCCCATGGTTGTGACTTCACTAGCTGCTGAGTAGGTACAGGGCAGCGTGACAGGCTGACCCACCACGCCACTCACTCATACCTGAGAGACGACAGCATCTGTCCAAAGTAGTGTGAGGCCTGTGAAGGCTGCTCAAGGGCGCAGGATGGTATCATCCTGTCTCAGTGTGGCTCCTCCTTTATATCTTTAGTGGTGGGAATTCTGTTCAGCTAGTCTTGGGTGGTTCTCGGTGATGGTTCGTCTACAGTTTAATTGGAATTCTGAAGTGCTCCTTAAATAAAGATGTATTGGGACACAACCACTCATTTCAGTGCGTATTGTGTATGGCTGCTCTAGTGCTACAGGGGCAGTGCTGAGTAGCTGCAATAAAGATTGTACGGCCTACAAAGCCAAATATTTGCTCTCTGGTGGCCCTTTGTAGAAAAGGTTTGGCTCTCCCTGGTCTGGAGCAATGATATGCATCCTGTCCACTCCCCTCCAGCATTACCAAAACACATTTGTTTTATTCATGTTTCTTTCTGCTTCTTTCATTTAATGAATTATTATTGATTTATGCGTTAACATTTAAGAATAATGGGATGTAGAGAGTTCTTCAGATGGGAGAATGTATAATGGCTAACAGCATTGAATTAGAAAGGTTTATTGAAAATACAGGCCAAAAAGAACATCTAAATAATACCCCATGAGAATGCAACCGGCCATGTCCAGAATGTAGGAAATGCTACACAATAAATTACCCTGGTGTTTTTTTCTTCAGTTTTGTTGTTGTTGTTTCCGTAAATATATAGACATGGGGAAAGAAGGTAGAGGAGGGCGCCTCTGGAAATTGAAAGAGACCTAAGGGACCGTCCAACCTCGATGTGCATCTTCTTCTCATTTGAACAACCCAGCTGAGGTTAATTGGAGATGATGGGAGAATTTAAAGTTTGACAGGGTCTTGGTGTTATGAAGTTATTTGTTAGTTATGAGGGTATTGTGATTTTTAAGACATCCTTATCTGTTAGAGATCATTAAATGGTAGTCTTTGTGGGTGAAATAACAGGGTTCCTAAACCTTTTTTTCTTTTCTTAAACTCCTTCAGCCAGAAAAACATCATAGGGAGTACAGAAGAAATAATATTGGCAAAAGATTGAGGATTATTGAAGTGGGGTGATGCTGTTTATGCTTTTCTCTGAAACGTTGTAAAGTGTATTATTATTTTTTAAAACCACGAGTTTAAGTGTCAGGTTTTCATTTGAATCTGGGTTTTGCTAGCTGTTTCTAGATCGGTAAAATGGGCATTATAATTCAGGTTGTATACGACACTGTGAGGATTATGACAATTAAATGAGATAGTAAAGAGTTTAGCGCAGTGCCTAACACATAGGAAATGATCAATACCTGGTAGCTATTATATTGTATCTGCTATCAAACAACAAAAACATAACCCCTTTGGGGCTCAGTTCATGTATCATGTAATTGACTTTCGTGAATAACAACTCCTAAACCCATATTGCTGCTACACAAGGATATCAGGAACTGAAATGCAGAATGTTTTTCACGGTGTGCACGTAATTCCTTGGCATTCTGAAAACAGCCACAACACCTGTACAGATGCAAAGAGGAAGAACTATGGCTCCGAAATCATGATTGGATTTTCAGATTGTCCTATGATGGCTCTTTCTCCACAGCAGATTTTTTAAAATCCATCGTCAGTTTTGTGTGGTATTGCTAACACATGCCTGTGAACACGTTTTAACCCATGTACATGGGAAGCCCTGTGACTATATGGTAGTGACAGATTTCCCAGTTTGTGCTCAGTGGAGCCCAGGGAAGGCTGAGTCCTGTGATCCTGCTTTAACTTGGCCTGGGCTGACTTAACTGCGTCCTGGTCAGCCACTCATTAGCCAACATGTATCTTGCAAACTTGTAGGAAAACACATTGACTTAAAGGTCCAGGATATTCGAGCCTCCCCCCTAAATAAAAGAAAATCATTATCTCATCTATCAACCACCCCAGGTAAATCAAATAAACGAGCTGGGACTTTTTATGGGTGTGGGAAGGTGTCTCCTTCTGAAGACAGTTACTATCGGAAAGAAATATTGGGAGCCTACTATTCAAAGTGTTTTTTATAAAAAGAAAAAGAATGAAGACTGGTTGTGGGCGGTTTAGGAAACAGTGTTTTGGTTAAACTGAAGATACCCAAACTGTAATTTTTTTTTTGTCTCTTCTTCCACAGAACGACATCACTCCTTTACATGTTGCATCAAAAAGAGGAAATGCCAACATGGTAAAACTACTGCTTGATCGAGGAGCTAAAATCGATGCAAAAACAAGGGTAGGCGTCAGTTTATGTGCATGCTTATCCTTATTTCCGGGAGGCAGGGATACTTCTCCTAATAGCTTTGCACTGGTTCAGTCTTGGCTTTATTTTTGTTCATTTGTTGTAGTCTCTTGGAAAATGACTGCTAAGTTTTTTCTTCTTAAAATGGGATGATAATCCATATTTGCAAATCTTTAATACATGTTTAAATAGTGCATGGCTTTAATTACAGAATCTAAGGTCTAAAGCCTAGAGTTTTAGTTGAGTTAAATTTTCAAGAATTTAACCACTACTTGACACTCCAGGCTTAGCTATTCAGTCAGTTTGATGCTAAACCTGACTTAAAAACAAACCTTTCTACCTTTGTGCCCTGATGATGGGAATGTAAAATGGTACAGCTGCTATAGAAAAGCATATTGAGGTTCCTTAAAAAAACTAAAAATAGAATTACCCCATGATCCAGTAATTCCACTCCTGGGTATAATTGGTAGAATTTTTGTTGCCTGGGGAATAAGTAAATGGGGAGTTGTTGATCAATGGGTATATAGTTTCAGTTTTGCAAGAAGATAAAGTTCTAGAGATGTTATGCAGCAATGTGAGTAAAGCTAACATTACTGAACTGTATGCTTAAAAATGGCTACGAAAGTAACTTTTATATTGTTTTTTACAATTAAAATTTTTTTGAAAACCACATATCTATCTAGCTAGGTGCTTGGCAGGTTGCTTTTCTGGTGTGATGCATTGTGAGTGAGGAAAGAACTGAGACTTCGAATCAAGCTTGAATCCCAGGTTCTGAGTTTAGCTAGTTGACTTAGGTAGGATATTTAACCTTCTGCCTGTTATTTCCCTTTGCAAATAAGAACCATTAATGGCTACCGTGCAGCATTGTCATAAGATCAAGCTAATGTTTGTAAACTGTGTGGTATAAAGTCATCCAGAAATAAATCCCAGCCATTGCTAGTATATCTCAGAACTCCAATGCATTAAGCTTCTAACCAGGGCATTTCTTTCAGCATTTCATGCACTTGTTACAAGGTGCGAGCAAGAGCCAGGTTAATAAAAGGTGGTCGTGCCGTAGACATCCACCTAGGTCGGAATTTTGGATAGCTTCCTCTGTCTTGTCATTGTACCTCCCACAACCCTGCGCTTCTTCCTTCAAGAATCATGATCTTCACGTGTCTACAACTGGCTTGGTAGCCTGAACTTGACTCCTGTAGCTCCTAAATGGACTATGTCGTTTATTAGTCACTACATATATTCCATCAACTAGTAAATGATTACCGAGCACCTGCCTGGGGCCAGATGGGGCGGGGGGCGGGCATGGAGGAGGATGGAACAAGACAAGACACTTCTCCTGCCCTCATGGAGCTGATGGGAAGCTTGTCTCCTGTGTTCTAATCTTAAGGTAGCCCAGCCGTAGGTATTTGGCAGAAAACGCAAATGTCTTTTTCCTGATGACTGTTGAACCTGAAAATTATGGATGTATTTTAAAAGAAACAAGCTTTCCTGAATGGAGTGAAGAAAGATGAGGGTTGACCCGTCTGACTGGAGAAGTAAATTGAATTTGCAATAAAATATATATTGTTATGTAATAATACAATCTAATGAATAATATATTATTTAGACTCCACTGATAAGTTAAGGATACACGCTGTAATCCTTAACTTGAATAGAGACCTTATTGAACTGACTTTGCGTCATTTAATAAGAAGCAATTGCCAGTAGATAACAAATGCTAGAGCCATTGCTTTAAATGCCAAAGGTCTTCTGCTAAGTACGGGCTGTTTAAAGAGACTGTAAGGAATGAAAGACAGAGAGGCCTTGCTTATGCCAGTTGAATATCACGGAAGCTAATGGATTGTTTGTAAATAGGGAGAATCTTTGAGAAGGCAAGTGAGGGAGGATGCAGTCAACGGGAAAGATAAACTTGAAGAGACATATCTGGATTTCCAGCTGAGGTTTTAGCAAATGTGCGGAACAGAAGTCACCTCATTTCATCCTCTCTTGATACAAGCGTCAATCACTTCTCAATCATTTATCAAACACTTGCTGTTTGGGGTACAAAGAGAGAAGAAACGGGTACACAGGAAATTCTGGCCCCATCTTTATGGGGCATACGGTGTCCTAGGGGAGGGACAGGATAAAAGCACAAAACACTCTCCTAAGAGAAAGTATCAGAAATGAAATAAGGTGCACAGGCAAACTGATGGCACAACCGGGTGTCCGTGGCACATTGCCTCCCTGTTCTGAAAGGCTGTCTTCTTTTAAAGGAGACGTAGATTCCCTCCTATGGGTTTAAACTGGATTTATCTTCCTCGTGTGCTGTGTAAGTGACGTGTGAGTGTGAGGGAGACTTGGAGAAGCTGAGAACAGAAAAGCCCATCATTCTTCTATTGTTGTCCTGCGTGGAGTGGGGTGAAGGTGGGACCAGGCCCAGACTGAATTCCTGGCAGACGATATGGGAGAAAGTATAGTACCTGCTCAAAATATGTAAACTATTCTGTGGTCTCCTCATCAGAGCTTCCCTTGTCTCTTGCTGAAATAACTGAGTGTCTGGATATGTGGGCTTGAAAGGGAGGGAGGGAGCCAGCTAAAATGTCAGAAAGCCCTGGGGACAAGCCTAAAAACTGACAACAAATTTTCATCACTATGTGCTTTAACAAAGCCCAGTGGCTCTTGAGAAAATATTCTTATCTGCCCAGCCACCTCCTACAAGGTACATGCTACTATTGGGGCTACCTTGTTGTTTGTTTTTGTTTTTTTCTTTATTGATTAAGGTATACATAGTGTCCTTATCCCCACATTGCCCCTCCCACCCTACCCCCGCTCATGCCCTCACCCCCTTAGTGTTTGTGTCCATTGGTTAGGCTTATATGCATGCATACAAGTCCTTTGGTTGATCTCTCCCTCTCCCCCACACCACCCTCCCCTACCTTCCTTTGGAGGTTTGACAGTCTGATCGATGCTTCTCTGTCTCTGGATCTGTTTTGTTCATCAGTTTATGTTGTTCATTATATTCCACAAATGAGTGAGATCATGTGATATTTATCTTTCTCCAACTGACTTATTTCGCTTAGCATAATGCTCTCCAGGTCTATCCATGTTGTTGCAAGTGGTAGGAGTTCCTTCCTTTTTATAGCAACATTGTATTCCATTGTGTAGATAAGCCAAAATTTTTTAATCCACTCATCTGCTGATGGGCACTTAGGCTGTTTCCAAATCTTAGCTATGGTGAATTGTGATGCTATGAACATAGGGGTGCATATATCCTTTCTGATTGGTGTTTCTGGTTTCTTAGGGGGATACCTTGTTGCATTAAGAATCAGACCTGGTACACACCAATCCCTCTAGAGACATGGAAAAAAACATGGATTCACCTCAGACACCAGCACTCTAAGGGACCTAATTTCCTTGTTGTTCTCTGCATGGGTTGTTGATCTAATAAAGAATTCCATTTAAAAGCAGACCCTTAGGCCCAGCCGGTGTGGCTCAGTGATTGAGCATCGACCTATGAACCAGGAGGTCACGGTTCAATTCCCAGTCAGGGCACATGCTCAGGTTGTGGGCTCAATCCCCAGTGTGGGGCATGCAGGAGGCAGCTGAACAATTATTCTCTCTCATCTTTGATGTTTTTCTCTCTCTCTCTGAAATCAATGAAAATATATTTTTAAAAATAATAAATAATAAAAATATCAATCTATTAGGTTTATAATATATTTGGAAGTAAAATATTATATATATATAAAAAAATGAAACTAATAATGTATATACAATTATAATATTCCAGAATTCTCATATTATACATGAAGTGGTATTATCTTATTTCAGTATAATATATATTATTTTGTAATAATATATTATTTAGACTCCACTGATAAGTTAAGGATACACGCTGTAATCCCTAGGGCAACCACTAAAAAGAGATTTAGTTAAAAATCCAAAGTAGGAGATAGTCAGTGGCCTATATGATCATTAAATGATTAGAATAATAAATAATGCTAAAACCAAAAGAAGACCACAAAGGAGGGACAAAAATCATGAAGAAGAGAATGGGAAAAGACACAACAAAGAGCATAACGGTTTATTTTTAGGCTCAGAGAGAAAGCTGTGATTTCCCAAGCAGAAAGAACAACAGAAGGATTTTGCCTTATTTTAGTTCAGTATTAAACATATAGAATGCATGGCAGGATAAAAAGGAAGGGAATTAGGAAGATATTTCTCTCTTTTATATATATAAATGGCTGAAATGAATTCTTGATGTGAAAAGGAAATTGCTTGGTACAGTAGAAGGAATCCAGTCCCTCTGACGGAGGCAAGCCTGAGGTTAACGTCTAATGTCAAGCATTTACTTGCATGGGACCTCGGGTGAGTATATTAGTCCTCTGGAGCAGCTTTCTCAGCTGCAAGTGAAGTTCACATGCCATTTCTCACAACTTGTAGAGATTCAGTAGAGCCCTAAGAACAGAGCACCTGTGACAACAGAAGGGGTTCCAAAAACGTCATTTCACTTCCTCTTAGGCCAGCTCTCCAATTGCCCAACACGCACAAAGGGAGGATACAGTCAGAACTCGTAGTGAAAGACACAGATGTGAGAACAGCTATTAGACTGTAACTGAGGCTCTTTAATGTGTCTGGTTGTCATCATCACTCTCTCCTCCGGAGCACTACCTGTTTCTTCTTGGTTTTTAGTTTACAATTAAATATCACATCCTGTTTTACATCCACAATAGAGAAAAGTGTATATCCACAGAGTTCTCTCTGCTCTATTTCCTTTCTCTTCTCCAGAGTGAGTTTTTGCTTAGAAGAAAGAAAAGAAAGGAAACTAGAGGCTACAAATCAAAATAAATGTCTCTTTTTGACAGTATTTCCCCAGTCACAGATTTGTGTCATTTCAGTTTGGGCTTTGAGCAGATTCACCTGTTACGGACATAGTCCAGCTTCAGTATTCCTAGGTGTGATGCCGTAATGCCCTGCTCCATGCTTTTCAGCAAAACCAGATGTGAAAGAATGTCTTT